CCAAAGAAGACATTCAGATGGCAAATACATGAAGAAATGTTCAAAATCCCTAGCTCTCAGGGAGATGCAAATTAAGACAACTATGAGATATCATCTCACCCAGGAAATAGTAGCAGCAGGCCGGCAAACAACAAATGCTGGCGAGGTAGTGGAGAGATTCCAACTCTTATTCCTGGATGGTGGAAATGAAAAATGGTGCAACCACTATGGAAGGTGGCCTGTGCTTTCTCAAAAGGTTAGAAATAGATCTGCAACTTTCTAAAAAAGCTGGAAAGTTGACTCATTCCACTCGTGGGAATATATCCTAAAGAAACCAGAGCCACAACTCAAACAGGTGTGTGCTCGTCTGTGTTTATTCACAATAGCACAGAGATGGAAGCAACCCAAGTGTCCATCTACAAAGAAATGGGTAGGAAAAACTAGTACATTTACACAATGGAATATTATACAGAACTGAAAAACAATGAATTCGTGAAACATTACACAACATGGAGGAGTCTGGAGGAATTATGCTGAGTGAAATATCTAAGTCACGAAGGGACAAATACTGCATAACACCACTGGTATAAAATAGGACAGACGGGGAATTGGGGAGAGAATGGGAAAAGAGTGGCTAGATAACGAACGCTGCAATAGATCAGATGAGAAGAACTATCTGAAAAGAGTGTATGACTGGGCTTTATCTGTATGACAACAACCTGGAGCAAAGGCTGCATTGCAGGGAGGGATGGGGAAACAGGCGAGGGGAAGAAAAGGTGCAACAATGAAAAAAATGAAAACATTAAATGAAAAAAAGTGATATTTCTATCTACAACTCTTTGTCTTAAAATAACACACATTTATTCTCTTACTATTCTATATGTATATGTTAGAAAATAAACTCAGTTTCACAGGCCTGTTTTATTTCTTTTAATGAATGTTTACAGAGACTTTGGATTTCCATTCATTCAGAGTTGTACACTTTCCCACCTCTCCTCCCAGTTTGTTTTTATCTTTGAAAAGTAAACAAAAAACAGCCCTAAACTCTGCTCTGTCCTGTGCCAATCGCACTGTCTCTGACACTCCCATCCTGATTACCCCAGTCACTGAATTAATCCATCTCATAGAGGGTCTTCCCCTCTTGAGCCATCCCTCCACCCTCCCAAGCATGATGTCCTTCTCCAAGGACGTCTCACCTCACAACATGTCCAAAAGATCAGTGGCTTAGTCAGTATTTGTCCTTTTGTAACTGAGATATTTCACTCAATATAAAGTTCTCCACGGTCACACATTTTGTATAATATTTCATACGCAAATCCAAGAGCCAACATTGTTCTCAATGGAGAGAGATGAAAGGCATTCCCTTTGAGAATAGGAACGAGGCAAGGATGCCCACTATCACCTCCCCTATTCAATATTGTATTGGAAGTCTTAGTGATAGCAATAAGATGAGAAGGAAATAAGAGGTATCCAAATTGGCAAAGAGGTGTATGTAGATGATATGCTAGCTTACTTAGAAAACCCTAAAGACTCAGCAAGAAAACTACTGGACCAATAGTTGACCAATTCAGCAAAGTGGCAGAATACAAGATCAACATGCAAAAATCAATTGGATTTCTCTACAGGACAAAGAGAACACAGAGCTGGAGCCAAGAAAAATAATACCCTTCACAATTGCTGATCACAAGATTAAATACTTGGGAGCAAATCTAACCAGAAGCACAAAGGATCTATTCAAAGAAATCACCAAACATTACTACAAGAAACAAGAGACCTGGAGAAATGGAATAATGTACCTCGCTCATGTATAGGAAGAATCAATATTGTGAAAATGACAATACTATCAAAGGCAACTTACATATTCAACAGAATCCCAATACAAATACCAATTACATTCTTCAACGAGATAGAAAAGGCAATCTCCAATTTCATTCGGAATGGAAAGAGGCCTCAGATAAGCAAAGCACGCCTTAAAAAGAGACACAAGGGAAGAGCCATCTCACTCCTTGATTTCAAATCCTACTACATCCTTTCTATGAAGATGGCGCCGAAAGCCAAGAAGGAAGCCCCTGCCCCTCCCAAAACTGAAGCCAAAGCAAAGGCATTAAAGGCCAAGAGGCAGTCCTGAAGGGCATCCACAGCCAAAAAATAAAAAAAAGATCCACACGTCACCCACCTTCCCGCGGCCTAAGACACTGAGACTCCGAAGACAGCCCAAATACCCCCGGAAGAGCGACCCCAGGAGAAACAAGCTTGACCACTATGCCATCATCAAATTTCCCCTGACCACTGAGTCAGCTATGAAGAAGATAGAAGATAACAACACACTTGTGTTCATTGTGGATGTCAAGGCCAATGAGCACCAAATTAAACAAGCTGTAAAGAAGCTCTATGACATTGATGTGGCCAAGGTCAACACTTTGATTAGGCCTGCTGGAGAGAAGAAGGCCTATGTTCGACTTGCTCCTGATTATGATGCTTTGGATGTTGCCAACAAAATTGGGATCATCTAAACTGAGTCCAGAGGGCTAATTCTAAATATAAATTTTTCTCACCAAAAAAAAAAAAAAAAAAATCCTACTACACTGCCCTAGTGGTCAAGACAGTGTGGTACTGGGACGATGACAGACACATAGATCAATGGAATAGAATTGGGAACCTAGAAATCAGCCCGTGTACTTCCTGTCAACTGATTTTTGACAAGGAGATGAAATCAGTTAAGTGGGAAAACGACAGCCTTTTAAACAAATGGTGTTGGCAAAATTGAAAAACTATAAAACTATAACTTTTTAAAGGAAATGTCAAATGCTTGCTGTTGTGGTTATACCAACCAAATCGATCTGGAGTTCCATCTCAGGTACCCAAGCTGGGCTTTGGAGAAGGGAAGCTGGAGAGCAGGGCCTTTTCAGCGTCATGGGACCTGAGGTTCACCCGAGAGGCTGGGACTTCATTCTGGGATGGGAGGAGGGTGACTGAGTGTCACCGGCAGGCGTAGGGAGTATCCACACCTTTGCTGACTGGGATGGGCCCACGTGAGGAGGTGCCCACACCAACCTGAGTGCCAGGGAGGCTGATGGGGCGCCTGGTGGGCACAGCCCTCAACCTGTGCCCATTTCAGGTGAGATCCTTTCAGGTGTCCCCCGTGTGCCTGTCCTCTTTTTTACACAAATGCGTTAGACAAAAGGTACTTTGTAGTTTCTACATACCATTGAGTTCCATCGCTGATCCTTCTGCAGGTTTTCTGAGGTTGTAAATCCCACAGGAGATTGCCCATCCTTCTCCTGTGAAGCAGCTAAGGGATTTGAACTACATACCCAGTAGACACTTACTCCTTTGGAAAAATGTTTGTGAAAACATTTACTCTCATTTATACAAGAATGTTCAGCATTCACTAGTGACAGAGAAGGAAGAACCCTTAAATCCACTCTCACAGAGTTCAAGGAAGCAGAAAATCTTTATAGAGGAGTGGCTGGTGAATTTGAACTGCTAACCTTTCCATTTGCAGTTCAGCACTAAGCTGCCAAGGGTTTGTTAAGAAGGCTCTTTTTATTTAAGTTGAACTGCTGTGAATTTTAGAATGTGAAACAATACTCTGTGGTAACATTTTTGTTGTTGTTATGTGCCTTCGAGCCCCCTGTGACTCATAGTGACCCTATGTACAGCAACTCTGAAGCCTGCCCTGTCCTGAGCCAGTCTCACTCACTCTGACACACCTACCCTCATTGTCCCAGTAACTGTATCAATCCATCTCACGTGAGGTCTTCCTCTCCTATGCTGTCCCTCCACTCTTCTGAGCATGATGTCCTTCTCCAATGTCCGGTCTCTCCTTGCCACATGCCCAAAGTACATGAGACAGAGCTTCAAAATTCTAGCCTCCAAGAAGAAACTAGAAATAAATAACCTTTTGATTGCCTACTTGGGTCAAGGTTCCAGTTGGTTCCACTGCTGTCCAGTGCTATCTGACCACAGTGACCATCCTCAGGGCACCTTCAGGGAGGAGGGAGACAGCCCATGGGTCTCCCTCAGAGAACTTGGATTCAAATCACTGACCTTTAGTGGTTTGGCAGTCTAAAGCTATACTCCAGGTTCCTTTCTTGTTGATGGAAGTGATTAGATTTTTAAACTAAAAAAAAAAAAAATTATGAAGTGATTAGATTTTTAAACTAAAAAAAAAAAAAATTATATGTCACATACATAAGAGGTTCGACACAAATGCTCCACTCCATGGTTTAACACAAAGCCATTCCCAGGTCTAGGGCTCTAAGAACTCAGCATTTGAAGGGCTTTGCGGCTTCAGAGAACTTCATGGGCACTGGAAATAGAAAACTTACAAAGGTTATCTTTGCAGAGTGAGGCAAGTTGAGAAGATTTTCTTTGCTTGATTTAAAAAATGTCTAATGTTTTTCCTAATGTCCTTTAACAGGGAGAAAAGTGCAACAATGAATGACTGGAAACCCTAAGTCTCTGTAAACTTTTACTAAACCTAACTAAAAAAAAAAAAAAAAAATTGCATTTCTTCCCCATCAGAGCCATACAGATAGATGGCCCAGCTCCCTTGGAAGATCACTTCTGGTCGTGTTAAAGGCTCCCTGGTCTCAGGCGCCAGGCGGTGGGGTGACAGCCTCAGCCTAGCCAGTGGCATCCGTGGGGTCAGCGCAGCGGGGCGGCCAGGCCGGGGGGTGTTTACCAGGCTCCCCACGCAGGGATGATGTAACAGCCACTGACAGAGTCCTCTCAGGGGAGTCTGATTCTGCCCTTGTTTATACTGCTCGTGAAACATGCTGCTTGCTTTATTCTCAAGCGCCCTTGTCTTTGGCATGTTTTACAGCAACCACAGGGTTGGGGGGAGGGGGCGCGGATGCTGCGCCTTAAGGAGATTCCCAAAAGCACGCAGTCCTGATACTCATTTTCTGTTCAAAGTGCGTCCTTGAGGCTACTACATTTGTCTAACTAATCTTTAAAAAATAAATGTCACAATGTGTCACACCCGGCTGGGTGCTAAGGGTGTCTCCCCCACTCAGGTCCGCCGGGTACCACCCCGGGCTCCTCGCTCGTCTCCCAGACTGCCGAGGCCGCGAGCGCCTCAGAAAAGAACCGCATCAACCGTCGTGCAACTATATCCTGCCAACATCTGTCCGGGGTCCCCAAGGTCCCAAGCTCCCCAAGCTCCCCCGGACCGGGGCGCAGGCGCAAGGCCAGGGTCCCTGGGAAGGGGAACGAACTCTAGGGGGCCGCAGGGCAGAGGACCGGGCTGGAGCCCCAGGGGTCCCCGGGGGCGCTGACCAACCACCTGCAGCCCCGGCGGGCGGGCCCTGAGCCTGCGCCTCCTTCAAGTCACCGCCCCGCCCCGCCCCATCCGCCGCCTGCGGAGCTAACACCAGCCCGCGGCCGCTCGGAGCGCAGAGCAGCCGCCGCTCAGAGCGCAGAGGAGCCGCCGCCCGCTTCCCGTCCCGCGCCGTCCGCGTCCCGCGCCGCCGCCATGGCCAGCGAAGAACTAGCGCGCAAGCTGCAGCGCCAGCTGCGCCGG